TCTCTCTCTCTCCCCTCTCTCTCTCCCCTCTCTCTTTAAACCTCTCCACGCCAATAAATGATTGAAAACGATGTTCGGCATCAGTCTATGAGCTGCGGCTGTGGAGCTCGACCGCGGCGTGCCACACAGAGACAGGCAGGCAGGCAGGGAGGCAGGGAGGGAGCTAGGGAGACGCACTGCCAGTTTGTGGAAACAGCTGCGGAGAGGCAAGATGCGGCGGAGCGAACCCACGTCGTCGTGGAACGAGCGTGCGTGATGTGTTTGTGGGTGTGTGCGTGCGTGTGCGTGCGTGTGCGTGTGTGTGTGTGTGTGTGAGAGAGAGAGAGAGAGAGAGAGAGAGAGAGAGTGGAGAGAGAGAGAGAAGAAGAGAGAGAGAGGAGAGAGAGAGAGCGATAGAGAGAGGGAGAGGAGAGAAGAGAGAGAGAGAGAGAGAGCCGAGAGAGAGAGGAGAGAGAAAGCGAGAGAGAGAGAGAGGAGAGGGAGAGAGAGAGAGAGGGCGAGAGAGAGAGAGGAGAGAGAGAGAGAGGAGAGAGAGAAGGGCGGGCGAACGAGGCGATGCGATACACCCAGACACACACCTGGGCCTGAGGGAGCTGTTGCCTCGCACCAAGCGCCCGGCGCAAATATATGTTTTGGCGGGGCGCGTCCGTCGTGACGCCTGCTGCCGGATGCCCCCGTGCTGGCCGCCGCACTACTTTCTCTCTCCCACTCACGGGCTGACTCGCAGGGGTGCGAGAGAGAGAGAGAGAGGGAGAGAGAGAGAGAGAGGAGAGAGAGAGAGAGAGAGAGAGAGAGAGGGAGAAAGGGGTCTTTTTCAATTAACCGACCTGCTTCTCATTTGACGTGAATATTGATAGGAATATGAATATTCTTCTGGAAAATCCCGTTCTCGGATATGGGGCATCAACTGAGAGGTCAAACTGATATCCGCCCCGAGCCCAAATCTGCTCTTCCTCTCTTTCTCTCTCCCTTCCTCTTCCGCTGCTCGCATGATAAAGGCGACATCCCTCATTGTCTCCCGGCCTGTCCAGTCATTTCGACCCCCCCTCCCCCACCCCCTTCGCCTTTCCAGGCCCTTTTTTCTGTTCTCTGAAAGAAAGGCCTCAGCGCGACGGCGCCATACAGGGCCCGTGGGGCGCGGCGGTGGGGCATCCAGTACACTGTGTGATCGAGGGGGTGCACCACTGCTGGCGATCGCTGTGCGGCCACCGAAACAATGGCATTTCCAATCAATTTCCACCATTCCAATCATTTTTAACCATTTCATTGACCATTTCAATGACTAAATCATTTCCAATCACCCCAACAATCTGTTCCGTCGCACCGTCGTACCGTCCTATACCCGGGTCGGCCTCGTTCCCAAATCCCCGAACAATACCGCGCCCCTTTGTCGCGACATGGGCAACCCGCAGCTCGCGCCCCGCCCCGCCCCGCCCCGCCCCGCCCCGCCACGGCTACGTGGCGTGCGGCCGAGGGAGGTGTCGGGGCGCACGCGCGGGGAAGCAGGCTGGAGCAGGCTGGAGCAGGCTGGAGCAGGGCAGCAGACCCGCACGGCCGGAAGGGGGAGGAGGCTTTCCCCGCACGGCCCCGCCGGTGCACACCGGTGCACACCCGGAAGGAAGACCCGCTACTCCCCGGCACTGCCGCGCACGGAGGGTAGTCGCTTGAGGTCGCGGGGCCGACCCCTCGCCGACGGCAGCGCCGGTAGTTGCCCTGTTTTAAATAAAATTAAATATGCAGGGATTCTCCCGCGGGACCAGCCGGGGCCGGCCTACGTGTCGTCACGCGTGCAGTATACGGCACTGCAAGAGGGAGGGTAGGGGGCAGGGGCAGGGGGGTCCAGGGTGGGCGTGGACAATCAGCTGTGCGGGGGGCGCGCCTTCCCCGCCTCCCCGCCCGCCACGTCCACGCCGTCCTCCGCGCTCCTCCCCCGCACAATCGATAAGAGATGCCGCTGCCACCAGCATCACCGCCGCCGCTGCAGCCCTGCCGCCCCCGCCGCCCCCGCCGCCCCCAAGCTCGGTCCACTGGCCCTGCGTTGCCCTGCGTCCTCCGCTCCCCACCCCTCGCCCTTCGCTGCACCGCGCAGGGGGCCCTTCCGCAAAAATAAAAGATTAAAAGCGAGAAGAATGACATGCGGATAAAAACTCGGCCGGCCGTCGGCCGGCGCGGAATCGTCCGCGGACGGTGGCCGGGACGGGTCGGCCGGGGAGACGGCGTGCTCGACGTGCACGACGTGCCGCGAGATTGCGACCCGCCGCCATGAATGGATGGAGAAGCCATCGAGATCAATGAAGCGGAACGGCAGTTTCATGTTTTATGGAAGCCGTGCCGTCGCGGACCGCACCTGACCGCGCCCCGCCTCACTGCCGGGTCCCGCTTCTTCCCTCGACCTCCGTGGACGCGCTCTATGGGATCTGCATATCTCCCTCTCGCCGCCAACCTCACCCCCCCCCGCCCCGCCATGGCCCCGCCCACCACGGACAAAGTGCAGACTACCAGGCCGGCCGGGCATGCGGAAGTGCCGGTAGGGCGCGCGCTCGTGTGTGTGTGTGTGTGTGTGTGTGTGTGTGTGGCGCGCGTGCGATTATGTGTGAGTGTGTGGTGTGTGCGTGCGTGAGTGTGCGCTGCAGCACAATGCAGAAGAGCGAGGCTTCGCTGCTGCAAATGGCCCCGCCGAGCGATTCCGAACAATTTGCACCGTCGCTCTGTCTCCCTCGCACCCCCTCTGGGAGGCCCTGAGTGAGACAGAGACAGAGCGACGGAGAGTAACCTCTCGGAATCGGTCCGCAGGAGAAAAAGGAGGCAGCCGGTGAGCGCCGCGGCGCAGGCACGGCCAGGGCACGGCCTCGGCGTCCCCTTACGAGGTGCGGGGCACCAACAGGCTCGCCTAAAGTCAAAGGGCGGCGCGGTGTGGTGCGGTGCGGTGCAGCCGGTGCAATCGTCCGCGAAATCGACGAGCGAGCGAGCGTCGACTTTACTTCTTCCCCTCGCGCCGGGGGCAGGGGCGGCCGGGGGGTGCGGGATAGAGACGGGAAACTCCGTCCTCTAATCGCTGCATTCTGTCGACTCGACCGGCCCCCTCCGGACCCCCGAGGCCACGGCTCCCCCCGGCTGCCCGACGCCACCACGATTAACTCGTTGAAGACGCCGGCGCAGGCGGGGGCGGCGAGGGCGCGGCCCCCGCGCTGCCGTCCCAGCCATCAGCCCCCAGAGCCTGCGGCGGCGGCCTGCGGTCGGCAACACTGGAACACTGGGGCAGCCGGCAGCCGGCCCGGCGGTACCAAAGTTAGTGGCCCGGCCGGCCGCCTGCAGGCCGAACCCGAGCAGCGCTTGCGTCGCTCCGTCTCCCTCGCACCTGCCAGACAGCGGTGCGAGAGAGACAGAGCGACGATGCTGTTCGGAACGGGAGGCTGGGGCCGCGACGGCAAGGGGTGTCCGGGGCAGGCAGGCAGGCCGCACGGTCTTCGTGAAAGCCGACAGGCAAAGTTTTAATCAGTTTGTGGCCGGTGCGGACCGCGGCCTGGACCACGGCCTGGACCGCGTGCTGGGCCGGTGCATCGATCCAGACCGGTGCGTCGCACGGTGACACGAGGACGGCGCAAAACACGGCCCGAATCAGGGAACTGAAATCCACGCCCGACGCGGTATCGCGTTGCGCTGCCCTTAAAGTTGGCGGGGCGGGGCGGGGCGGGCCGGGGCGGGGCGGGGCGGCGGGCGGGGCTTGATCTTCGACCGACTGTGAGGAGTTCCCTCTGAGTTCCTCTGGCCCGGCCACGAGATACTTCTTGCAGCTGGGCCGGAACTCCGTCTTGTATTTTGTGTGTGGGGGTGGTGGTGTGGTGCTGGCTGGCTGGCCGGGGCGACGACTTCTCGTCTGCGCCTTTCTCCACTGGTCCCCGCGCGGAGACCTCGGCGGAGACGCAGAGGGAATCAGAAAACTTTCCGAATCACTTCCAGGATGCCGGCCGGGCCCTCGGCCGGGCCTGGGCCGGCGGGGACGGGCCGGTGGGGACGGGACGGACCACGAGGCCCCCGTAATGATGCGCAAACTGCACCGAGGGGTGAAACTCGTGCACTCAGTGTATCAAATTTCCCGTACTCATGGTACTCACAAGTTCAAAAAGAACGAAAATCACTAGTTTTGCGACCGATTTGGCGGTTAATGCGTAATAAGTCTTATCACGTTTTCCGAATGTGAAATTATGAGTAAAACAAGGTTGTACTTCACCCGCCTCATGTGACTCTGTGACACTAGGACGCTGAGTGATTCACCCCTCGAACTGCACTTGGTTCCACGAGGAGGGCGGAAACGTCGTGCCTGCAGACTGATTCAGAGAGGCAGGTCTCTCTCTCGCACTCATGGGGCGCTCCATACCGGTGCGAGAGAGACAGACCGACGGCCGCACTCGCTTGATGCCCCCATCTTGTTGCAGCTCAAGACCAGCGAGTCGCAGTTCACGGTGCTGGCGTCCGACGACGCCGAGTCGGGGCGCGGCGTGGCGCCCTACGCCAACCACAGCGTCAGCGTGGTCTGCGGCCCGGGGATGGACGGCCTGCCGGGCAGCGGGGCGCCGCCGCCGCACCGCCAGACGCAGCACAACACCATGTCGTCGCGCTCCTCCAACGGCTCCGTCATCACGCTCACCATGCACAACAACCACCTGATCGTCGAGAAGGAGGAGATTGTGGAGAGTGTGAGTACTGAGCTCCCGTTCGTCGCCGCCGGTTACACACACCGCCACGGCGCCCCTGTCGGCACGGCAGCCTCGCCCCCGGCAATGTCGCGGCAATGACCACCCCGCCGGAGAGTCGACACGGCCCCTGGGACCGTTCGGCGCCGAGCTAGCCGAGCTAGCCGGATCAGGGTCGGAGGAGGCGGGGGATCCGGGAGCGCCCGAGGGAGCCCGGGGGACTCCAGGGGGAGCCTCGAAGGGAGTGTGCCAGGGCCTGGGGGAGCGCCAAGCCAGCGCCAAGCCAGCGCCCCTCTAACCTGATTATTTGGGCAATGGCTCCGGCGACGCGACGTGACACGACGCACGCACGGCAGCGCCGGCACCGGCAGTGAGGAGGTGGTCGTTGAGGCGAGTGGCCGCCACAGTGGGCCAGAAGACCGGTTGAGGCGGCCAAAACTCGAGACGCGTTTGAGCTCCAGAGTCGCTAAATGGGACTCGAACCGAACGTGTGACCCACAAATGGATTGCTCCCGGACGAGGAATCCATTGGTGGGGTCACACGCTCGGTTCAAGTCCATTTAGCGACTCTGGAGCTCAAAACGCATCTCGAGTTTTGGCCGCCTCCACCGGTCATCTGGCCCACTGTGCCGGCCCTGCTTGGCGTGGCGTGGCGCGGCGCGGCGCGGCGTGGCACGGCTCGGCAAACTTGCGGCAGTGCGGCGCTCCTCTGCTTGACCATCAATTATGTAAGTCACATTTCGCGAGACGAGCGGAGAAGAGGCGAAGAGGGTGCTGCTGGTGCCCACCACCGCCTGCTTTGCCGTGGGCGGGGGGCGGCGGGTGGCGCCGGCCGGGGGGTGGGGGAGGGGGCGTCATTACTCTAACGCGGCAGTCAGGCGGCAGGACAAGTAGGGCTAGGCAGCCCCAGGCAGCTCGCCCCGCGCCACGGCTTTTAAAGGGGGCGGGTCGGCGAGGCGCGCCGGGCGAGGACGGAACGCTACGCCGCGCTACGGGATAAGGCGGGGATGAGGCTAATCCCGCAGCAAAAACGACAAAGCTATCGGAGGCGCCGAGCCGACGAGTCAAATAAAGAGCAGGGCCGAGTGGGTGGCTTCGTGCCGCTGCCGGCAGACTGAGTCCGAGAGTCTTTTTCGTCGCTCTGTCTCTCTCGCACTCAGGGCGTCCCGTGTAGGTGCGAGAGGGACAGAGCGACGAAAACGACTCTCGGCATCGGTCTGCTGTAGGGCCCGCGGTGGCAGGCGGCAGGGCTGCCAGCTCGGCTGTCGGGCAGCGGACCGCGCGCCTCGATTCATTCCCCCCAAACGCCCCCGTTGTCGAACGGCGCGTGTACACTGTGCAGCCTGTGTATTGTGGGCATTGTGGTGGGCGGCCCGTGGCTGGCCGCGCTGCCCACACAGCTATCACGCCTTCCACCTGACTGCACCTCCACAACTCACGGTCCGCGGCCACTCGCGGCGCGTGCTCATGCACCCCGGCAAACAGCAGTCCTCGCGGCGCCTGGTGACGGAGTGCGTTGTGGGGGCGTCGCTGTGAGCACAAACAGCAGCACGCTGTGGCCAAGCAGCCCGAGCAGCCCAAGCAGGACCCGGTCCAGAACGGCTAGAAATAAAAGCGGGGTAATGGCTCTTGCTTCTTTTCCCTCCCTTTTATTTCTTTTTTGCCACGGTGAGCACTTTGTCTGGCGCTGCCTTCGCCTCCCCCAGGACTCTTCGCACGTATGTCCGCGATGGCCGCCGCGCCCCGCACGCTCGGCCACGCTGACTGACCACACGGAGAGCGTCTCGGCGCACCATCAATATGGATTCAGAGAGAGGAAGAGGGGCAGGCCGAGTGCGGCACTGGACGTCCGTCCCAGGGACCATAAACCCCCCGCCCCGCCCCGCCCCGCCACGCGGCGCCCCGCGCAGTGGGCCAGAAGACCGGTGGAGGCGGCCAAAACTCTAGACGCGTTTTCAGCTCCAGAGTCGCTAAAGCGGACTCGAACCGAACGTGTGACCACACCAATGGATTGCTCTCCGAACGAGGAATCTATTGGTGGGGTCACACGTTCGATTCGAGTCTCATTTAGCGGCTCTGGAGTTCAAAACGCGCCAAGAGTTTTGGCCACCTCCACCGGTCTTCTGACCCACTGTGCCCCGCTCGCGTCCTTGCCGAGAGGCGGTCTCTGATACGAGTTTTTAGGGTGGCCACCCCGTGCCGCCCGGGCGCAGGAAGCTCTTTAAGAAAGCAACTATGTTACCCGTGACGTGCCTAACGTGCTTAAGACCCCCTCCGCTGGGGAAGGACGGGGAGTCGACGGGGAGGGCCTCTCGGCGGCGTGAACCAGCGCGGACGCCCCAAGTTTCCTGGAGAGTTTCTCAGGGGAGAGTGCCAGAGGGTGAGGTGAGGGTGGGGCGTGCAAGGGCCAGGTGGCCCTACGGGGGGCAGCGCCGGCAACGCCGGCAGCGGGGCTGGGATGCGCTGGGGCGTCGCGAGATTCTTGAGAATCCCTCGGGGACGAGGCGGGGGCTTCGGGAAACACTAGCACGCAGCGCGCAGCACGCAGGGCTCGCGTCCCTGGGGACACGGACTCGACGCGCCTCCCAGCGGCAAGCGCGGCTCAGTTGGCTGTAGGCTGCATTGGCCCGGGCCGTCCGCCGAGGTGATTTGTTGACGCTTCGCTTCGCTTCCAGGAGTTCGGCCCGGAGGACCACATGTACGACGAGGCCCTGGCGACGCCGCAGCTGTACGCGCCCAGCCTGCCGCCGCCGCCACCCGCCACGGCCTACTCGGACCAGAAGGCCATCGTGCACCAGCCGCCAGCCACCGCCACCACCCCCGCGCTGACCAAGGGGGCGGAGACCGGGCTGTCGCAGCCGGACCTCAGCACCGGCTCCGACGGCAACCCCCCGTACTCGGTGAGCACAGTGACTCTGTTGGTGAAAGTGCTGTGGAAACTAACTGCCCACTGACGATGTGACGCTCGGCGCAGTACGGCAACCAGGTGGGCTACGACGCGGGCCCCTTGGGCTACGCGGCGTACAACGGCTACCGCGTGGACGAGCCCCCCAGCCGCCACCGGCACGTCGCGCCGCCGTCGCCGAGGCCCGCGCCGCCCCCCGACGTGGTGGCCGTGGTGCCGCTGCGGGTCCAGGACAGCATCGACGGGCAGGACGGCATCCAGGACCTCCCGGAGGACCCGCCGGAGGACCTCCCGGAGGACTCGCCGCAGCCGCAGAGGCTCATGTCCGACATCCAGGCGCGCCACGACGCGCTGCAGCACCACGGCGAGGTACGAAATACGAAGTACGAAACCGGGCTGGCCTGCCTCCACCACCCGATGAAAATTTCAGGATACTCGGTCCAATACCTACAAAGTCCACCACTTGACGTCGGCGTACGTGCGGTGGCCGCGCCGGGTCGAGCGCGGCAGCGCTTCATGGTTAATGCATCATCTGCTAAAAACTTACCTTCACTGATAAAAAGTTGCGCGGCGCGAATCCGCCCCGCCGTCTTTGGAAGGCGCCTGCAAGAGGCACGTAGGCAACCCGCTGGGTCGCTGCTCGCCGCGGGCCGGCCTACCTCGCTCTTCGCAGGCGGCAGGGCGGCAGGCTCGGCAGCTCAGCGGCAGCGCTCGAGCCTCACTCACCGCTCTTTGTTTCGCAGGGTGTGCCGAACGGGGGGCCCGCCGTGGACATCGTCGCGGTGGACGCAGCCGACGACGGCGACGATGACTCCGCCAGCGTCACCGAGGACGCCTGCTCGGTGAAGGCGCAGTCCCCCTTGCCGCCCAGGGTAAGGACTTGGCCTCCCCGTCGACCTCGTCTGCCTCCTCGACGCCGTGCTCACCGACAGTGTGTTGCAGGCCCTGGCCCTCGGGCTGGTGTCCGGCGCCACCGCCGCCGACCAACCGCTCCGCTCGCCCGTGGTGGACAAGCTGCGCCTGGAGGAGGCGACGCCCATCGCCGAGCTTGAGCGCTTCCCCTTGCCCAGTCCCGGACACGGCACCAGGACGCCGCCCAAGTCCCCGCTCGCCAGCGCCGCCAAGAAGGCCGAAGTGCCCTAGGGGGATGCCGCGTGCGGCCTGCCAGGGCCTGCGCGGGGTGCGGACGCCCTCGACGGCGAAGCAGTGCTCACCCTCGCCATGCTCGCCACTCTCCAGTCCGTCCTAGTCCTGCGCGCCTCTCGCCTCCCGGTCGCCGACGTTAGCGCGTCCAGCCTGCGTCTAGCTTCGGGGGGAAGATTGCTGGGGCCGCTGCCCCCAACGCCTCGCCGCTTGTATTCAAGCTGTCTTGTACAAAGGTGCTGTTTTCTTCAGAATTTCGCCCTTTACAATGCACCTAATTTTTTTATCAACGGAATTTTTACTGGAAAGTCACGCGGACTGAACATGGCTGATGGAACAAATCAGATGTAATGCTCGAATTTTAGACAATGTGAACGAGATAGTCGTCTCGGGCCTTCCTAGTTTTAGTGTAACGAATGAAGAGGCAAGCAACGTGCAAAAGACTAACGGGCTGCACGTTTGTAGTTTGTACCGAAACCGTCCCCAAGCGTCAATTCTCGTCTAGTGCCTGACCATGGCCTGACCTCGGACGGTTGGAGCTTGGATTTGTGATCGTGTGTATTTTCGTGCCGTGACGTAGTTCGAAAGCACATCTCTCTTTCTCTAATCCTTCCCCTATTGTATCGTTCGGGGTGTCTGTATGCTAGTCACTAAACTTTGAGCGACGACAAGGACTACCGCTACACCGGCCTGTAGTCGTCCATAGTCTTTGGATTTATTCATAATTTCTTTCCCCCCATATTTTATCAAATTGTTCCATTACTCCCCCATATTTTATAAAATCATTTCATTTTGTATCTTGTATTTGTGATACCTTTTCAGCAACAATCCGCATTTTAAAAGTACACGTTCTCAGTGTACAAATGGGTCAAAGGCTGGTCCTCCTGAGACTTACGTTGTTTTCCCGTTGATCTTTGCGATTTATCCTAGCATAGTTCGTTTAACAATACGTTTGAGTTCATTTCTTTCCTAAATGCCGCACGTGGAACTCGGTGCAAGGGACCGTGAGCGATTGCGATATGTAGTTAAAAACTTGTTGAAAGGTAAAAATTGTTGTTGCACATGATATTGTATGTTACTATTTTAATGAGTACTGTGATATTGTTATTTTATTCTGTTTAATTTGTGTCGCTTGAGAGGGTGGCGTTATAAACCCTTGAGGACGTTCGAAGGAGCCACCTATAGGTGTACAACAATAAACGCAATTTTACGCAGAAAATATCTAAAATGTTTTGTGTTTTGTTGTGTCCTTTTGGCAGTTATAACTATGTAAAACCTATCCCATTCTTCCACAAACTTAATAAATTATCTATAGAAAAACTCCTCTGTGCTGCTGTTTTGACGACACTTTACCCCGGACATTCTCAATCACTATTGGCTGGTGTGACAGTGCGTGCTTCGTTAGTAAATAGTATGTGCGCAGTCTGAGCTCTGGGCACTTGCGATTCTTCCGCCGGTTCATTTCGTTTTTCTCCACTTGCATGTTCCCGCCTTTATTTTGAGCGATGATAACGAAGCAGGCTGGCCACCACGTCACTTGGCGATTCGGTATGAAAAATATCTATTGCACTGAAAAGAGAGCAGACGACGACTGACAACTGACAACAGCCAGCAGCTGCCAAACTTTCAGAAACTGTTTAGGAAAGTAAATGAATCTTTGAAAAAATTAAACAAAAAAGGACCGTAAGAGAAGTGGCCTCCCACCCAGGGAGCACAGCTTTTGTCTTAGAATTCTACCGTTTGAAACAAAATGTCATCAAGCTGGATTCAAGTTACACCAAAGTAGGAAAATTCTTTTCTTTTATTTAAAAATGAGCAATAATACCGTTTTTCTTCTATTACTGAGGTTATTTATGCGTGTTATCAGGTTTCAGAAGGGAGTTACATTGATCAACAGTATAGAACCAGCCAAACTACGTTTGCTCCTAAATAGAATTGCCACATTCATGCAGCGAGATTCTGTCAAGGGAATATCATCTCCCTTCACTGAAGATGAAGAATCAAAACTGGAAAAGTCTCTGGGCTTACAATTAAAAGATGTTCGACTTGTTATTGATACCGCTAGTCTCATCTTACAGCAGGTGCACGTCATAAAATAAAAACTTGTTTCCGTCTATAGACCACCAGGTCTGCTTCCTTATTTCATGAACAGTTTGTTAAATTTTGTTTTTCATTTTCAGTCAGCATATCACATCATTAAGCCTGACAGCCTCAAAAGCAAACTTATAGAAGACCTAAAGCTGGAACAAGAAAGGGCTGCTGCTGTTGCATCTGTGTGGGAATCAAATGCAAGCTTGATCGTTGAGAGCTTACGGAAACGATCAGTTCTACCATACCAGGTACCGTAATAAAATACTTCTGCTGGATCTTCTAGTTTGGATGTTTGTAACATATCTTGATCATTGTGTTTATGCAGTTTGCAGATATGACTTGGCTTCTTAATGTAGAAACCTCGTCTGACAAGATATCAAAACGGAAAGAGCCTGTTGCATTGCTAGAGCTCCTTCTTCAATCAGGGGACAGTGACAACAATCGGAAAGTTAAATTAGAGATGCACAAACCTCAACTACAGAAACTGTACCAAAACCTTGAAAAAATTCAAACCCAGCTTGATGCGCTAAAGTGATTTGTCATGAGAAATTTTCTTTCTTACATTGTTTGTTTACTTTTCTATATGAACGATTAATAAACTATTTTCTTAAAAATGTCTTCACCGCACAAATTCAAATTTCCCTCTCCTCCAAGTGGCATGCAAGCTACAAACCAAAGTAACAAAAAAAAAGACATCTTGAGATGTAACTGTTATGTCACAAGTCATTGACCTCTGTCACGTTAACAAAGATTTCTCAAAAAAACCCAACAACAATAAAACTTTAGCAATTTTTACGTTTTTCTTTAACACGGGAGCTAAACTGCTGCCGCTAATTTTGATTTGTTCTGCTTTTGTTCTCATCCTCCATAGTTACCAACGGCTAGTCTCGCACGGCCATGCCTTGCCGTGTCGTGGTAGGATCAGAAGGCCAGTGAAAAACGTATCCATGACGAGCAGTCGTACAATGATTCAATGTGGCTCCACCGATTTTGTCGTGAATTAACTGTTAGAGTGCATGAATGAAGGTTAGCGGCGTTTTCAGTTGTCAATGAAGTCTCTAGCTCTCAGTCCCTGAGTTGAAAATAGTTTTTGCCATTAAACATAATGAGTAACTTCAAGCTTTTGGATCACGAGTACCTCTCGTCTCAAGAGTTGGCCGGGTTTGAAACGTACAAGGTAAGGAGTTATCTGCAATCAATTTTTCAACACACATTTTGTGTGTGAATTAATTAAATTGCCTGATGTTTTTGTCAACCACAATTATCTACTTCAGGCGGAATCTAATTCGCAGAGTGGCACGATGATAGGTTACCTAGGACAGATTAGTTCCACTAGGTTAATTTGAACTCTACAATGTGCGTTAGACCTGCCACACTGTCGTCCTGCTGGACTTTGAACACAAGAGTAGCCTTGAACGTTTGTCGTCTTATAAACTTGTAATGATGAGCATGACAGTCACTCAATTAACCACTTTCAGTCTCATTTGACAAACTGTCATTAAGTTTTTAGCTAAAAGGAAATCTTTAAAACATTTATCTCCTTTTATTTCTAAGTTGCCATGACCCATGCAACTTAATTGAATGGCATTTGTAGTTTATGTCAGTATTTGACTTGACTTTTTATACATTATCAACGGTCCGAGGTAATTGCCTGTGATGTCCATTTTGTCGGTAGACGTCTCTTGCTTTCAGATTTCTTATTTTCGGATCTAATGTTTAATAATTTTTGGAAGATCTGAAGAAATCAGTGAAGGTCCCACACAATTGATCGTCAATTGAAAGGAGGGAAATTTCTAAAGTATAATTTGTCTTAGTTGTTTGATTGCCTCCCACACAACACTGTTTTATTTTAGTGCAAGTGATATGACATGAGAAACTTAGCTTGTCTGGTGTGAAATGTTTCATACAATGTCCATTACACTGCAAGAGCTGAAACCGCCACTGGGTGACGTATGGGTTGTATTCCGTCCAACTGCCAATGCCGTCTGTGTATGTCAGGCTGTGTCAGATTTGGGTGCTTCTTTCCTGGAACAAAGCTCCTGTATTTGCCTGCGACTTGCCGCTAGAGCTGTCGCTGTCTTTATCTCCCTCCTCCGTTGTTTGTAGAACGCATTGCACTGCATCCTGGGCTGGGGTCCCTCCCTCGCCTCGCAGACTTCGGCCTGCCGCCTTTTACGCCGCTCGTGCCTCCCCTCGCGCCTGCCCTCGCGGCTGCCCTCGCCTCGCCGGCCGAGTGGAGTGACTGGCCGAGTGGCTTTCCGCGCTCCGATCCGATTCTTCGATTCTGATTCGGCGAGAGGCCGTGCCGGTCGTGCGGCGTGTGGCAGGCTGGGCCGCTTGGGTGGGTTATCGGCCCCGCGGGCTGCGTCGGAGGAGGCCCGGCCCGCGCGGGCCGAGGCCGAGCTAGAGCTAATGAGCCTGGCCGGTGCATTGCTGATTGCTCGGCGACGTGTTGCCGTTGGCACCCCGGACGCAGGCCGCGCGGGCCTAGGCCGTATCACGCCACTGTGATTGCGCGGGTAATGGCTCTTGGTCTCGGTGCGCCGCGCCGCCTGCGCCGCCTGCGTCACGATTTGCATGGCCGTTCCATCATGGGGAATGCCTGCCTGCGCGGCATGCGGCATGGCCGATATGGGGCCTGTGCTGACGGTGGTTGACATCGACATGACATCAGCAGGGGGCGTGGGATTTGATTTGGGAATGGGACTGCCATGGTCGCTTTCCCTGGCCCGGCCCTGGCCCTGCTGCACAGTGGGCCAGAAGACCGGTGGAGGCGGCCAAAACTCTAGACGCGTTTTGAGCTCCAGAGTCGCTAAAGCGGACTCGAACCGAACGTGTGACCCCACCAATGGATTGCTCTCCGGACGAGGAATCCATTGGTGGGGTCACACGTGTCTTCTGGCCCACTGTGTGCTGAGCTGCGCCTTGAAGCACCTTCAAGGTAGTTGGCCATGGATGCGCGTGGCAGTGTCAGCGGGGATTACCTCGAGCAGACGCAAGACGTACTATCTGCATCAAGGTGTATCTTGGACTGAAAAAAAATAAAAGATGTCTAGTGGGTTCTTCTAAGCCGTGATGGACTTGACAGACTGCTGTCATCATGCTCACACTACGATACTACACACTTACTGTGGCTGAACTGAGGTGGGAAGGTAGAAGGAGATGAATAGAAAAAGGAACCTTGGGAAGCTCATATGCAGGGAGGGTAAGAAAGGAGGAGGTGGCAAAAACATTAAATCATGGATGCTTAATTCTGCAGTTGCTTTAGCGTTTAGTTTCTCTTATGGTGTCACACTTGTTTTGTTGATGGAAAAGGATGTGAAAGAATGATGAGTACAGTACTTGCTTAATACTTATCTCCATTTTTTTATGTTCCATTTTGTCTTTGCAGTACAGTTCCATAGACAGCAGCCCCATTGGAAAATACATCACTCATCCATTTTGGAATTTTGTTGTGAAGGTAAGGTTCCAGTTGAAAGACCTATTTCATTTTTTAAGTTTGGACTTATCCAAGTGCAGAAATAGAGGGATAATCATTTTGTTTTTGTTCTTTTCCAGTTTTGCCCCACATGGATTGCTCCAAATGTTTTAACTTTTACTGGTTTCCTTTTCACTGTAGTGAACTTTGTTCTTTTTGCTTATTATGATCCTAATTTCTTCGCATCTAGTATTGATAAACCTCAAGATCCACCTCTGCCTCGCTGGCTCTTTTTGCTGGCAGCCGTCAACCTTTTCTTGGCTCACACCTTAGGTAAAAACATTTTTAAATTTGATAAGTGTACATTATTGGATCTTGAATTCTATCTAAAATTAATTCATTTACAGATGGCATTGATGGTAAACAAGCTAGAAGGACAGGGACAAGTGGCCCATTGGGTGAGCTGTTTGACCATGGCTTGGACTCCTGGTCTTCTGCTTTCATTCCTATATGCCTTTATTCGGCCTTTGGATGTGCTGACCTCACTACATTCCGAATGTTTTTCTGCCTGTGGAATGTGTTTTTTAATTTCTACACTTCACACTGGGAAAAGTACAATACTGGAATTCTCTTTTTACCATGGGGATATGATGGTGCAATGATTGTAAGTTGTGCCTAAGGTTCTACAAATTCGACAATTAATATAATGTATTTTTGCACTACATGGTACTTATTTAATTTGTTTACTTTTACAGGTTGTGATTTTCTTGTTTACCATCACAGGCATTTTTGGACATGAAATGTGGTACTTTTCATTATGGAATGGATTCACTGCTAGTCACTTGTTTGAGTTCCTCTTTTATTTTAGTGCATTAATTACAAATGTACCTGTTGTGCTGTTGAATATTTACCTGTAAGCAACATTTTCTTTTTGAGTCAAACACATCCTGTGTTATGTTGTGATTCTAATGTTACCCTATTTCATTTTCAATTCGAAGGTCTTACCGAAATCGCACTGGACGAATGCGACCATTTGTTGAAGCAGTAAGACCTCTTTTCCCAGTTTGCTTGCTTATGGCAATTTCTACTGCATGGGTTGTGTGGTCCCCTAACGACATTGTTTCAGCAGATGCACGGATCATGTTTCTGTGCATTGGGACTATATTTTCAAATATCTGCGTAAGTCTCTCTAGTTTTTAAAGTGTCAATTTTCAGTCAAGAATTTTCTTGTTTTCCACTCTCTGTAAACTAAACAATGTTTTTGTTTGTTCTCCTCATGTATACTTCTAGTGCCGATTAATTGTAGCACAAATGAGTGACCAACGTTGTGATGCTTTCAACTTACTCCTAATACCTCTTAGTGCTGTGGTGGCCTGTGTGTGGATTCTGCCCACTGGTCGATCCCTTATGTTTGAGCAGGGCCTTCTCTATCTGCTCACAACGATAGCTATATGTGCACATACTCACTATGGAACTTGTGTGGTGAGAATAATATCATATCTTTCCAATTTCAGTACACAGTATTTTATGTATTTGCCACTCAGTGACACTCTTTTGTATTTCAGGTACGCCAAATGTGCCGCCACTTCCGCATTGATTGTTTCAGAATTCGGCAACACACAGATTGACTATTAGCCGACAACATGTGTTAACTGGTTATGATTGAAGATCATAATCAGTTAAATTCCAAGAGCAAACTGCAGGTATGTGAGGTTCTAATTCCTGTCATTTTTTTTTGTTTTAAAAGCCTTTTGTCTTGTCAATTATGCAATTGAGTCAAAACCTTCAAAAATTAGTTTTGAATGGACTTAAAACATATTTGACTCATGTTTGTTCGTCTTCTGTTCAATACAGGAATTTAACTTAATTACCAAAGAAATTATACGCATCTTTCTATGTGTGTATGTGTGAGTGAATCAGTGTGTGATCATACATTTAGCGTAAGGAGGGCCTGTAACTCTTCCCAGAAGTGCTTCAGATCTCATGTGAAATGCTGAAACTAAGATATGTAGATTCTGGTAAGGTAGTTAATTCACTTGTATTTTTTCTTGTCTTCTTTATTAAGATGTGAAACTTCCTAGCTGTTGAAAAGCATTGTTACAATCACCTTATTGTATTCCAAACTCCCAGCTATCATAGCATTCCCTACCTAGTTTACCATAGGACTATCAACTCCAATCATATAAGGAAATTCATAGAAAAAAAGTAGATTCTTGTTACTTTTTGTTTAATTTTAAATTTTTGAATCAAATTATTCTTGCACTTTGCATATCCTAAGCCTTATTCCTAGGATAGACTTTAAGTGGTAAGTCATGCACTTTAAAGTGAGAATTTCTCCTCTCCTTAGTCCTAAGTTTCAAAATGTGGCTTTGTTGCCATTCCTTATTATTTTCCACTGCTGCCATCACCATCAATAATTAGTACATTGACAGTCATCAAATTTATCATTCTTGTAGTTAGCAGCTAAAGAGTTCTAGAAAGAAAGAAGTCAGAGAAATTTCCTCATGCTAAGTGAGGGTACTTATTTATGTTTATTTCATGTTGAAATGTTTCATATGCTTCCATCGACAAAATCTGTGGTTCTGTGACATTTTTCTATTTTTATGATAGAGGTTCAGAAAAATTCCATACGTCTCAATTATTTTAGTTGGATCCATATTTGAAGTACAGTACTTATTTTTGTGCCCTTTCTCTTTCTATTAGAAAAATATCTTGAAGATATTGACAACTTTCAATAACTTTGGGATATTTAACTACAATTGCTTGCTGTCAAACTCATATTCTAAAATTCAGACTAAGTTTGTCATTTGTGATAACCAGGCTAATGAAAAAGTGACAAGTGTAGTTGTAGTATCATATTATTGTGATCTAGGAAATGGAGGTTACTGTGACATTTTAGCCCTGTGTTCAAATTGTGGTGCAAATCTTTATTATACCATGGCTGAGGCATTGTTGAAAATTTATCGATGTGGTAATTTTCTTCAGTGCCTTGTATTGTGTTCTGATAATTGTTAATAAATTTTCCGAGATAACTGAACGGATATGTGCAAAGTTACAATGTCTCCAACATTTAATAAAATACACTAAGTAAGAGATAATTTTTATGTAATGAAACAAAGACATGCATATAGTTTGTTCTCCTGTCTGGCTTCAGTTTGTGTTCTTCATGATGTGACAACTTCCACTAAACTGTTATCATCATAATCTTGTGTATTAGAAAATCCTTATTATTTTGAATTTGAAAGTGCACATTCTGGAGCCTGTTCTTTACCTCAAATAACATCTGTTCTCTAGTGAGCTAGTAAAAACAGATTTTTGATATAATTTGTTTATTTTTCTTCCTTTTTTATTTTTAGGCTTTATTTAATCCTGTTAAGTTACATGCTACTTAAGCGAGTCTCAGTGTTTGCTCTTGGTTTACACATGTTGTCCCTCGGACGCCTATTTTATTTGTTTATAGTTGTGCCATTCTGTGTGCCATGCTTGTGTTCTGATTGTGTCGGATTTGTTTGTGTTGTGAGCTCCTTTGTATATTACTTAATCAATTCCATTAGTAACATAAGGGAGGCAGGGTGTTTGAATAATTGTGGCTGTGTCTCTGTACGTGTTACAAATGAACTTTCTTATCGTTTAATTTAAATTTTATGTGAAACATTGTGGCGTGACTGTACTGCTTCCTTTGTAGCTTGATTCCTTCTTCTCTACCTGTTGTTTTTCTGTTACCTTCTATCGACTTCCTTGCTTAATGAAATATTTCTCGTGATTGTCTCAGCCACCTTCCACAATTTTTAAAAAAGTATAGGGTGAGGGTGGGAATTGTTTATGTTCGCATTTCAAGGATAAGGATTTGTATCTAATGAAGACATACTTTCAAAAATACTCTTAAAGCGGGTATAGTAGCACCCTGTCAGCTTTTATCTTGCCTCACTTCTTTGCAAAGAATGAATAAGTGTACTACTTTTAGTGGAGTATTGTGCTAGTCTGAAGTTCCATACTGATAACATTTTTGACCATCATCTCCTTTTGTCAGCCATGTGGTATTAATTATTGTTTCAGGGGGGTTACCTCTAGTTGTAGAGGTATTGTTACAAAACTTAATCTCCCTGTTCATTGCTGAGAGTATAAACCCAAAGTTTACACCCTCTTAATGACAATTGTTTGGTGTGTGTGTGTTTGTGTGTCTGCTACAAAGTATCTTGCATCATCAGTGTATGTTCTTGTCAGAATACATGGAAAAGGAACTCACAAATAAAGTTCTTATTGTGGATAGAAGTTTATTTAATACTCATCCAAAAGGATAACACAATAGATAGAGAAATTGTATAGTTATGACAATAAATAGAGACGACTTAAAGTGGTAAATAAGTTTTAGGCCATGAACAACTGTGGAAGTAAAAGAGGATAAAAATGTACAAATATATGAAAAAACGACTTTGTAAACATGAAGTCAGACTTACGCTTAAACAGCATGCATGCAGTAAAAATTAGTCTCAAAATCAACATAGCCAAAAGGAAGAGCGATGAATATCGAAAAGAAAACCAAGAACACATGATTGCTGCATCAAAGTTAATTGGCCCCATAGTTTCAATCAAGATGAGGATCTTTGGATGCTGGATTTTTTGTAATGTCAAAGTTAGTACATTGATTAAAACTTGGGACTGAGATGCACCACTTTGCCAACCAAACATTGAATAGAAATGACGCCCGTATGGCTTTTAATAAAAAATTTAAACGAGCTATAATAGAACATGTAAAATACAAATATTTTTTAAGAGTATGTATGTTACTGTTGGAAGTAGGAGGTAGGTTGCACCTAGATGTAACCGGTTCAAAGTAGGTTGAACCAAACCAATCTGGTTACAAGTGAAGCCACCTATTTGCATCCAAATATTTTGCGTTGGAAGTAGTTGTAACTACATGTCAGTGGTTGAAAGTGTCAAGCAGGATTTTGTTTGGTTGGATGTGGGTGGAAGACTGAAACCTTTATTTCTCAAAGTTATTATTACACTGTTTTCTTTTTGGAACAAATTTTTTGCAATGTTTCCTTTTTGGAACCAGTTTGGAACAGCTGGACGGTCATTGTTTTGATTTAGTGACAGCATATCCCTTGTTGGAGCATGGGAGACTGTTGTGGCATTAGCTATTACAAGAAAGCCCTGGATACCTGCAACCTTTGCTCTTGTTTCACCCACGCGTCAAACCTCAGCTGGTCAACCATTTTCTGTACTATATTTAGAATAATTTGGAATTTTGCCCCTACGCCAGTGCCGAAACCAGCCAAATTTGACTTTTCTGTGGCGCACAGTTTTGTTAGTCTTGTCAGTCGCTTGTCAATATTGTAATTGTTGTCCCCTACGTTGCCCTCCCTGTCTATGCATTTACCAATTATGAACACTTCCAACTACTTCCAACCGACTGTGATTGGTTACAAGTGCTAAAAACAGAAATGTACTGGTTCAACCTAGTTGTAGCTGGCCGATTACTGGATACAAGTAGGTTGCTCCACTTGTAACCAAATTGGTTTGGTTCAACCTACTTTGAACTGGTTACATCTAGGTGCAACCTCCCTCCTACTTCCAACAGTAACATGTACAATAGACATGAGTCGAACTTCATAATAGAAAACAAAGAATAAACACAAATACAAGAACTTGGACAAGAAATAAAATGAAGTGTGCAAGATGCTTGAAAACAAAGAAATATCACAGATCACAAATACAACTTAACAAAACGATATGAAAACAAACTCACACATTTAAGACTTGCTTGGTTACAGATAATGTCAATCAGGTCAAGTGAAGAAAACAGTGTCCTCAATAGCCTGATTCGACATTGTCCAAGTCAACACTAACCAGTTCATCATGGACATTTAGCTGAAACATACATTTGAGAGAATAAAAGCTCCAATGAATCAGATATTGTTTTAGAGATGCAAGCCAGAGACCAGCATTCAACCGATAAACTTACAATTTTATCTGACTTTGATCATTTAGGATAATAGAAAAAAGTTCTTAAGTGTTAAAAAAAGGTGCAATAGCATTTAAATGTAAGCTAAGAATGCTTGATTTTGTTATGTTGATAAAGTTTTACAAAAATGCTCTAAGCAAGATAAGTGACTAAACCGTTGGTTGTGAAGACCACAAAACAACGTAATGGAATTTGACTGGATAGAAATATTTAATATTAAATAAAACACACCAAAACCGTACAGTATCTTAACTTTTAAATATCAATCACACAAACAAATAAGCATGTCCTCCACCTCTGCAAGGCACAAGCTCTAAAAAAAAGAAAAAATAGTTTTTGAGCAAATTTTTTAGGTGATGTGAGGAAAAAAAGTACACTTTTGAACAAGTCTTGATTTTTAAAGGTAAACTGTCAGAAGATGATGGCTTTCATTCTTTTGAGTTTTCTGCCAATGCAATATGTATGTTAACATAAGGAAGCCTTCTACAGTTGAACCTGCTTCTGAGGTGAATAAATGGACTGTGATGTCTCTTGCCCCTAGGGTGAAGCAAGAGACCACTGCTTGAGGGAAGTGAGCAGGTTTCTATACTGTAGCTTCGCTCTAGGATCTAGCATAGGAGAGATCAAAGAGAATTCTCTTACAGGAATTAACATCAAATTTTGACAAACATTTTAAACAAAGCAGGTATGACTGTAAATACTTAAAAGAAAACTTCAGAACTCTGTCAATGCAAATTAATTTAAGATTTTAGTTGTGGATACCTCTTAAAAATTTAAGACAATGTCCTATTTGAGGGGGGTGGAGATTCCCACAAATTTACTACTTTGAGTTTTCAGTCCAACCATCATGTCGCAATAACAGCATGAAGGCCAATGTACAAAAAGATGGCATTTAGATAAGATAAAAGAATTTGACTCTTAGCACAAGATAGTAACAACAGTAAGAACAATAAGCTTTTACTGGAAAGGCTGCTGACAGATTAAGTGAAGAAAATTTTTCCAAAAAATAAAGTAGAAGACTTGATCTATTAGCATCATCATCAATCAGGAAATCAGCAAGAAAAGAGTGGGAGTAAAGAGGGTAGAAAAGAGGATGATCGTGTCAGCAAAGCATCACACTAGCAGACAAAATATTTTCAAATACCCAACATTAATTGAAGTGGTATGTGGCATTAACAAAAAGAGGCAGATAAGCCATGGCAGGTTGAAAAATGTAAGCAGTGTGTAGTTCATAAACTGTTCTTTTAGTTTATAAAATTCCTGTCTGGGAATCAAGTTAAAGTGCTCTCAGAAAAGTTTATGACTTTAGGAACGGAGATTTGAGAGAGGAGCTGCATCAAAAATCCAAGATGAAAATAGCCAACACAAAAGAGAAAATATTTCAGGGCTCTTGCCTGAAATAGCTACCTGAAAAATTCTGTTGGACAGTACTGCATTATGTGCACAGCACAATCTCACAGCTAAACAAGGAATGAACACTGGCAACTTTTCAGGCATCAATACAATTTCTTAAACACATACAAATAGTAAAATGGTTGGATTTCATAACAGGTGGCCCAGCCAACTTGTTAGTAAATAGAATATACTTGGTAACATTTTTTGTACTTGCATTACACCTAAGAAAAATAATAATACTGTATAATATTTGCAGTTTTTAGTAACAACAAGGGTGATGTGTCGAGAAGAGACATTAATCAAATGATAAGTTGAGATCTTAGGCAAACTAGTGAGATTCTTGACAGGCCAATCCTGTTTTCTCAAGAATAAAATGGAAAAGATAAAAACTATTTAAAATTGAATAAGTTTAACAAACCATGACCTCTGCTATATGCCATGTATAACATAATGTATCTTGCATAAGAAAAATGAGCAAAATACAAATATCAAAATTTAAGCAATGCACTTCATTTGAAGATGCATGACAATCACTACCTATGACAAAGTCAGAGGATTAAGACCAATTGAAGCCTTCATTAAAGCTTGGCTTAAATTAAAAAGGATACAGAGAGTTGTGTCCTGCATTTGGACTTGTTCCCCAGAGTTGCAAAGATTTCATTCCAAGGGGCAAAAAAGGCTTTCTTTCTGTGCCCTCCTTATTCAAAAATGCTCCAATGCACTTAAAGAGACAATAAATAGTCCACCTACCAAAAGAGAGAGTGAGAAAAAAAGATTGGCAACATTGGACCACATGCCACTCTATATTTCTAAAGTAAGTGGCAATATTATCCTAAGGACATGTGCGATCATGAACAAAACTTTTGGTGTAGCATGGTACTGTATCGTAATAAATGGAAGCTGAACTCACAGGAATAATGTTGCGAAACTTTGCTTCAGCTATGAAGATGTGGTCTGCTGGTGAAACCTCTTCACAATCTGAGTCAGATTGAGAACTTGCCCTGGACCTTTGCTTGATCAATGTCCACATATTGGTCCATGTTGTGGCTACAGCAGTTGTTAAAACTTTGAGAACCAACGAACAGGAGCAGCATGAGGCGTACACCCTCGCCGCCTCGCCCCCCTCCGCCCCACCACCCCTTTTCGCCGATCTGGGTTCAAACCGTCTTGTGTCTGAGCTTTTCGTGCTGCAAACTGCAACTTTGAGGTGGAAAATACGTTATAAGCGGGAGACTTGTGGCGAAAAACGGCCTTTATATGCGGGAAAACGTTATTTGCGGGAAACGTTATATACGGTTGAACGGGTCCCAAAATTTACCAATATTACAACTGTGCAACGTTATAAGCGGGAAAACGTTATACACGGGAGACGTTATAAGCGGCTTTTACTGTACAAGTATCAAAATTTAAGCAATGCACTTCATTTGAAGATGCATGACAATTTCACTACCTATGACAAATGTCAGAGGATTTGAAGACACCAATTGAAGCTCTTCATTTAAACGCTTTGGCTTAAATTAAAAAAGAGGATAACAGGAGAGTTGTGTCCTGGCATTTGTACTTGTTGCACAGATGTGTTGCGAATAAGATTTCCATTTCCAAGGGGGAAAAAAGGCTTTCTTTCTGTGCCCTCCCTTATTTTCAAAAAATGCTCCAATGCACTTGAAAGAGTAAATGAAATAGTCCACCTACCAAAAGAGAGAGTGAAGAAACAAAAGCAAGGGCAACATTGGACCACATGCCATCTTCATATATTTTTCTAAAGTAAGTGGCAATATTATCCGAAGGCACATGTGCGATCATGAACAAAACTTTTGGTGTAGCATGGTTACTGTATCTGTAATAAAATGGAAAAGCTGAACTCACAGGAAATAAATGTGTTTTGCGAAACTTTTGCTTCAGCTATGAAGATGTGGTCTGCTGGTGAAACCTCTTCACAATCTGAGTCAGATTGAGAACTTGCCCTGGACCTTTGCTTTGATCCATGTCCACATATTGGTCCATGTTGTGGCTACATGCTGCAAAGTATTAGTTAAAATTAGAGAAACAAACGAACAGGAGCAGCATTGAAGGTCGTTCAACCATTACCTGCAGTGCTGATTGGAGGATACAAAGGTGGGGTTTTCAACCACGAGTTATCTGCTTTTCGCCAATGGCGGCGGTCAGAAGCAAAGTTCTGAACATACTGTGCTGCAGGGATGACTCTAAAGTATCTGTAAAATAGGTGGTATTGAATTACTTAAGTATTCACTTAAGTAGAAGATGAGAGATTAACAGTTTGAAGTTCTATATCTCACCGAAAGTAATCTGGATCAAGGACTTGATCAGTTCGGAAAGTTTCAGTGACGTATTTGTGGAAGTGGGTCGGAAATGGCAACTCTGAGTCAAGATCATAAACAACACATCTTTCTGCAGGTGGCATGTACAGAAGCATTGCATGGTAATCCTTCAGGGAAAAAAATAGATAATGTCACAAATTATCATTCATTTGGATAAGAACACGCAACCCATTAGAGGTTTTAACACACACAAAAAAAGAATATCTGACTTACATAAATGACAAGTTTGTCTTCAGTTTCCCCAGACCTTTGACGCCATAGAGGAATAGTGCGAGCTTTGTTGGACACAAATACTACATGGCAATGCAGCAATTCTGAAGGAAGCCTTGTTGAAACATCTTCACACATTTTCCAGACATTTTCTTCACTGAAAACAAATGAAATATCACATGAAACAGCTTTTTCAAAGCAGAAAATTGCCAAGGACCGGGCTTTTGTCACATGTCACACATAGGCTTCAAAGCTTTCCGCGTATACTTACCAATAACCAGACGTATAAACACAGCCCGATCTTAAGGGCAAAATATTTATGATGTTCGAGTTCGGTAACGTTGCAGTATCCTGCCTCTGGATTTTGTTGGTTGAACTCTCAGCGGAAACATTAGCTTCTTTCGACATTGTAGCAATTTTTCGCAAGTTTTATGTACAAATGACAGTAGGACAGTAGGACGCAAATGTTTACAAGGCAAATGTAACTATTTTCCTTCGTATCGACCACTTGTTGTCATTAAGCAGACATTTTAAAACACATTCCAGTCGTCTGCAGTGGGTGTCTTCCACTTCTTCAAGGACATGACGGTCGGCCCGGTCAATTTTCTAGAAGGCACCAAGCGCCAACTTGCGCAAGGCACTGAGGAGAAGAAGAAGAAGAAAGTGACGGGAGTGCGGCGGCGGCGGCTCCTCGGCTCGATCTGTTTACTTTTGCGAATTGTGGCGAATTTAAACTTTTATCCTTGGCCGTTTATTTGTTGAATTTGTCCAGGGGGAAGCTTACGCTCAGCAGAAACCATGGCTGAATATCTGGCCTCGATTTTCGGAACAGAGAAAGACAAGTAAGTACTCGAATACCTAGCCTCTGAATTTGTTTTCGTCCAAGAAGACTTTGATTTTGTGCAATTCGGATAAGATTTTACTGAGTTTACGCAGCCAGTAATTGATCTATAAACAACAGTGGATCAGACTTTGTATTTCGCTTAACTATAGTCTTCTTGAGCCATTATTTGGAGGCCTGCTTATGACAGCAACTAGCACTTCCTAGTGTTTTGTGAGGTTATGGTATTAGTTAAGCCGGATCGTTATCATTATTTTCGGGATCTATGGATGCTCTTAATTCCATGTACATAATTTGTTTTCAGTTATTCATGTTTAAATTTATCCTCTTACTTTCAGAGTCAACTGCTCTTTCTACTTCAAGATTGGCGCCTGCCGACATGGTGACAGATGCTCTCGAATCCACAACAAGCCAACCTTCAGCCAGGTTAGTAAATTTTTCACTCAAAATTACTGTCTCTATTCAACCTTTTGATTCATCGTAATATATGTCATTTATTCTACTTCGGCTTGTTGGAAATAGATCATTTTAACTATTGTATCCTGTTTCTTTCCAGACTGTCCTTCTTCAAAACTTCTATGCAAACCCTCAGAATTCTTTAAAATCTGCTGATGGCTCTCATTGTAAGTAATTTCTTTTATTCTGATTGAGGTAAAGTTCTTTTCTATTGGAACTCACAGCGATTTTTCTGTTTCAGTGGTTGCCAATGTGTCTGATGAAGAGATGCAAGAACACTATGATAATTTCTTTGAAGATGTGTTTGTTGAATGTGAAGACAAGGTATGAAAGCTTGATGGTGTTCACCTTGTGGGGCAGAGATGTTGTCCCAATTTGATATCAGTGCAGTTGTGCACCTCTATATTCCTCTCAGGAAACGGCTTGTTGTGCACTTATTTAAAAACTACAGCATCTCTGCTCTTTCTGTTTTGTATTTTAAATTTGTTAGGGTTCTTGTTACTAATTTGCCATTTACTTTGTTTCCTATAGTATGGTGAGATAGAAGAAATGAATGTCTGTGACAACCTTGGTGACCACCTTGTTGGAAATGTCTACATCAAGGTTAGTAGTTGACTGGTTTGCCTTGTTAGTTTAGTGGATCCTCCATTAATTTCATTATGTGTAACTGTCGACCTTTTTGGTTTGCCCTCTCAGTTCCGCCGAGAAGAGGACGCAGAAAAAGCTGTCAATGACATGAACAACAGATGGTTTGGTGGACGTCCAATTTATGCTGAACTTACTTCAGTGACAGACTTCCGTGAAGCATGTTGCCGACAATACGAAATGGGGTATGTTCTATGTTGAATAGTTTTAGTAGTAATTAAGCTGTTCAGCATTTTAACACGCCTTCTGATTGATTGCATTTTTCTTTGCCAGGGAATGCACTCGCAGTGGTTTCTGCAACTTCATGCACTTGAAGCCCATTTCCCGAGAACTCCGTCGCTATTTGTACAGCCGGCGCAAGAAGGGCAGAAGGTAAGATCCAAAACTTTGGCTATATCAAGTTAAGGAAATTCACTTTTCACAATTCACAGGTAGGGAGCGGGGTGAGGTGGGGAACTGAATTGTGAAGACTCCACGCCTCACCCCTGGCCCTATCTGTGTATTGTGAAGTGTGAAGTGTGAATTTCCTTAACTCGATGTGTCAATTTTCTTTTCTCTGATGTGAAAGGAATACACTTGAAGCTTGAAGGCTCCGACCAACTTTGACATGATGTGTGTCTTTTTCAGGTCCCGCTCCCGCTCCCGTGACCATGTTGGCTCCCGCCGGACCCGCTCCCCCGAACCGCGTCCCCGCCGCTCCCGGTCGAGGGACCGCAAGCGTGACCGTGATGGCGGCAGGGGCGGCGGAGGCGGCGGCCGCGACCGAGGGGACCGTGACCACCGCGAGGGCCGGTCGGGGCGCTACTGAGAAGAGAGGACTGGACCCACGTCACATTTCAAGCAATGAACCGACAGTGTGGCAGGATTTAAATCCACACCATGGCAATGGCATAGTGTTTTATCGTATGATCTTTGTGGGGCTCCCTGCATGAAGTAATTGCTACTATTGCTCTACTCTGGTATCGCACCCCTACATCTTATGTGAACTTTGTTTTATTTTTTACTGTTCAGAATTTTGAGTTTTGCTTTGAGTCAATCAAAGTGTGTGATGGTGATAAATGATTTGTCTAATTTAAGTTTAAATTCAGTCAACATAAGCAGCTTGCATATGTTTATCCAAAAATCCTTCTCAACAATTTTCCAATCACATTCATGTTTTTTTGAGTAATGAACTATCAAACATACATCATGGATTTTTATAGTGCAAAGTTAAAATTGGATTTTTTGCTTGAGTGAATGTATCCTTAACTGTGAATAATAATAATAAACTGTAAATTTGTCACTGAACTTTTGATATTGTTCTGAACCTTATCAACTCCATCCGTCGCGAATCTTCTTGAATACAAGCAAACGCTCGAATATAAAAACGTAAGCTTTGTGGAAATCGATTTGCCTGCCTCGAAAGCGATGCAAACGAGCATTATCGTTCTCAGTTATAGGAACTGGATTAACGAATCGAGGTCTTTGCCACCGACGGGTGCCTCTGGTCCCCGCCGTGTGCAGTGAAAGACGCAACTGGCAGTGAAACAGAGACTTTCTATCTGCTGGAAAAATGAAAAGGAGAGACAGAGAGGGGAGTGGGGTTTGGGGGAAGTGTTAAGACCCCGGGCGCAGGATTTACCAAGGTGAAAAGGAATAGATGAAATCGGAGACCCCATCAGAGAGAAAATACGGTGGCGGGGCTGGCTGCAGCTGTGCGCCCCGCCAAAGTGCGGCTGAACACTGAAACATGCCAGTGCCAGAACGACGGATTTATTCATTCGATTCCACCGAGAAAATAAGATTCACACAGAACCCAGAAGACTTCTTTCTTTTTTTCCAGAAAATAAGAAAGCAAATACCAGTGAAATTTTTAACTGAGAACATTTATTTGAACCCATCCATGAGCACGCCACACCATTGACATCGCCGTGCGCCCTGAAAATGTTAAATCTGTTTGGGTGCCGTGATAGCTTTATTATATTTTTTCTACGCACGGGAGGCGCACCAATAAATTAATCCGAGGAGCGAGGATCCCCGAGCCGGCTGATGGAGGGCGACTGATGGTTGTCCCAGCAACTGTCTCAATCAAACTCGAAATCCTTAATGAAACGCGCGGCTGCTCTCGAGACGGAAGACAGGGGGAACAGCGGGAATAAAAAATGCACGGCGGCGGCAGGGCCAGGCAGGGCGGTTCAAGGCAGGGCAGGCAAATCTGATTGCTTCGGCAAGGAGGGCGTGCGAAGCAGTGCGAGATGAGATGCCGTTGTCGAACAACGGACGGACTGCAGCCGCTTCGGAATCGGCATCGGAAGCGCCTCCGAAGAGAAACGGCGCCACTGAATAAATTCGGCGTGCATTTTCATTAAAATTTTGATTTTGGCGGTGAATTTGCTTGCACTCATTTGGATCTCTGCGCGCCAGCCTGGTGGACAGGGCAGGCAGTGCGCCGGACGGGCCGGATGCAGGCGGCGGGAGTGGCGGGACTGCATGGCACAGCCAGGGCACAGCCAGGGCGCCACCGCCACCCCTTTCGCATTGTCTTTTGTCACTGTAAATGGGAATGGGGGCACCGTGACGGAAGTCCCGTTCCCAGCGTCTATTCCGGGTGACCGGACCATGGCGGCGGCGGCGGCGGTACCCGCAGGGGCGGGTCGAATATTGTGGCCTTGTTAATGAACGTGTCTGGCGCCGCCGCCCCGTCTCTGTCTCTCCCGACCGCTCCAAGCAGCCCCGAGCACACGGTCGGGGCTCCAGCCATGCGCAGGCGGTGCGGTGTCGACCCGCCCCGACGCACAGTGGGCCAGAAGACCGGTGGAGGCGGCCAAAACTCTAGACGCGTTTTGAGCTCCAGAGTCGCTAAATGGGACTCGATCCGAACGTGTGACCCCACCAATGGATTCCTCGTTCGGAGAGCAATCCATTGGTGGGGTCACACGTTTGGTTTGAGTCCCATTTAGCGACTCTGGAGCTCAAAACGCGTCTAGAGTTTTGTCCGCCTCCACCGGTCTTCTGGCCCACTGTGCGTCGGGGAGACGCGGTGAGCGAGCGCGTGCCTCCCTCCCGGGTACCTGTGCCTGGTCCGCGCCCATGGGCCTTGGCTGCCGCGTCGTCTACTTGGAAGGGAGGCAAGCCGAGGCAAAGCTACCGGACCGGCACGCAAGTTCATTCACGTGTCCCAGTCCCAGGATCCGAGGGCACTTCACTACTGTACGTCCAGAATGTGGAGCCTGGTGGCCGAACGCTGGAGCTGCGAACTGAGCAGCCAGCCTCCACGCCGTTCGCGCCTTTCGCAGCGCGCTGAGCTTTGGCTGACATCGTTTTCTCGGAAGGCTCGATCCACTCAAAGACCTAAAAATATTGAATGGTAGATCGCAGGACGGCCGTCGTCTTGGGTTCTGGAGGATGTCGTAGGCAAAACGGACGGAATTCAGTCCAACGGTCCACACGACATCCGGGGTCGTCGTTGAATCAACAGCGTCCCTGCCCTGGATGCAGATCTTCACGAGGCATGACGGTTGGCTGCCTTGGCCCACAGCAATACGAGGGAAAGGCCTGCACTGCTTGCAAGCCGTGTAGGCAGTGTAGGGCTCGGAGTTGGTGCTCGCCTCGTCCCAGTCGGCGTGTCTGGCGTGTCGGTACTGCCCCACTAGGCCCTGCGACGGCCTGCCGACAGCGCCGCCCCGTCCGGGGCCCCGTCCGCATGCATAATCGAAGCCGTCACCGCCTTCCTTCCTTACAGCTTCCAGCGGCGAGGCGCGGCGCGTCCCTCACCGGCTGGAGCGGCCTGGAGTGGAGTGTCGAATTCGGAAATAAATCGACAAAGTTGGTGTCTCAAAGTCATGCGGCGGCCCCTCGCCACCCGTTCCCCTCCGCCCCGCTCGCCCGAGCAGCGCGTCGAAGAGGAATTGGGGGCCCTCCCCCCCCATGGGGCCCCAGCAGCCACTTCTCGATTAAACCTCCCCCTCCCCCTTTCACGCCGCCTTCCGAGAAGCACCGCCCCTATTTACTTTCGTACCGATAGCATCGCCGTCGCAGGGAATTCTTCGTCTCCCCCTCCTTCTCCTCCTCCAGCGTCGCGCCGCCGCCTTCCGTCTCCGCGGCCATAATCTGGAAATTGGGGGGCGGGGATGCGCGTGCGGCTTGGCGGCTCGTGACGCGCCGAAACAATTCCGCCCCCGAAATTCCTCTTCCCCGTCCGATATGCCGCGCGGTGGCGCCCCGCAGCCTCCACGGCCTCCACGGCCTCCACAGGTGACAGCCTCAGCCCTGGCCGTCGAACGGTGGCCTTGTAATCCAATCCTCGCGGAACTTTATCCGGCAGGGCGCGCCGAGTTTACAGCCGGAAGCTGTCGAAGAAGGGGTGGCGGAATGCGGCGGGAATGCCGCGGTGCGAACGCTCGCCGCGGGGTCGCCGCGTCGCGACGGGCTTCCAGGCGTCTTGAGGCAGAGATTTGAGGGGCGGAGGGAGGAGCGTGCTGTGGATAGACGTCGGCGTGAGCGGAGTGTGGTCCGGGACTCGACGGCGGCCCCGTAAAACCACCTCATCGTTCCTCGGCGGCCAGCGTGGCCAGCTCGGCCAGCAGCTCGCCGTTTTAGTCGACCGCAAAATGGGTTGCCTCCGTGCTGCCGCGGCTGGCAGTGCTGCCAGAGCCAAAGCTACGCGTAGCTACGGGGGTCTATGACCGCCCCGCCGCGCCCCCCGACTCCCCGGTCGGGTACAGCCGGGTCCTCATGGCCCTCGCTGGCCATTAGCTCCAGTGCCAACCACCCGGCCCGGCCGGACCCCGCCGGACCCCACCGGACCCGGCCAGACCCGACCGGGCATGGGACAGCCTCCTGGCCCGCCAGCCCCGCCGGCCGGGGGCCGAGGACCGAGGTGCTGCTGGCAGCCCTTGGCACCCCTTCATGGAGCCCCTCCTCCGCCTCCCCGTCCTGGCCGTCCTGGCGGTCATCGCCATGCCGTCGCCGCATGCGGTCCGACCCGACCGGCCGCGACCCCCCGTTTAGTGTTATTACCAAGACAAGCATCGAAAAATTTCCGCGCAGCGGAGAATCTCCGCAGTTCTGGTGGCGGATATTAAAGCGACGCGCCACGTCGGTGGGTTGGCAGCGCCGCCGTCTAGTCGCCCCCCCCCTTTCCCCCTTCCTCCGTCACCACTCCCCGCATGTTGCTTGCTCGGCGGGCTTGGCGGGCTTGGCGGCAGGCACGTGAAGCATGGGGCTAACGGACCAATCTGCAAATTGCCCTGAAATGGAGCGGAGTGGGCAGCGCGGGGCAGGGTCATCTGTCTCGGATTACATCTCCAATTACAGGGCGGGGCGGGGCGGAGTGGCCGGCGACGCGCGGGGCCCTCTTTGCAAGTGAAAGCCCTGCACTGCCCCGCACTGGAACTTGGAAAGGGCAAGTGGCGGCAAGTGGCGAGACGCCGCCGGTGTAGGGTAGCGGCCCCGGGGTTTAACATCTTAAACGAATTAACTCCCGATCATTGCACGGGGCGCCGCGCCGGCCGGGGTGCGGAGCTGCGGAGCGCCTGGTCCTTCCCCGCGCGAGCGGCGAGCGGCAAGCGTAATCCCCTCTCAACGAGATGCACGCGAGCAGAGCAGTAGTTTCCCCCGCTGTTCTGCTAATTGAGAAACATGGCGACGGCTGCACCGGTCACCACCGCGCTCGCAGCCTCGCAGTCTCCCGCCCGTTTAACGGCGTGCCTTTCGTTCCCCGAGGACGACCGCCACCACACTGTCGACACGTCGTCGTCGACACGTCGTCGTCGACACGTCGTCGTCGACACGTCGGCACCCTCTTGGCGCCGTCATCGCGCGTCTCGCGGCCGGGTCGTCCGAAACTCTGGTCGCCGTGGGTCATTGCCATAAGTCAGTCAAGGAATTATGCAGCCGTGGCTGGCGTGGCTGGCGTGGCTGGCGTGGCTGGCGTGGCTGGCGTGGCTGGCGTGGCTGGCGTGGCTGGCGCACTGGCGCGGCCCCCTTCACGGAGCACACCCCACCCCCTCGAGGAGCGCGCACTTTTAAAATTGAATCAGCACCAGAGTGGGGGGCGTCTGGCCGCTTCTGGCCGCGTCTGTCGACTGATTCCGAGGGTCGTTTTCGTCGCTCTGTCTCTCTCGCACTCGTGAGGCGTCCCCGTGTGGGTGCGAGAGAGACAGGCGACTCTCGGAGTCAGCCTGCCGGCGACGACGGGTAATTGCAGTGGCTGCAGCTGCTGGAGTCGCCGAGTCGCTGGAGAGGGCGCTGGAATGCAGTCTGGAATGGGTCCAGCAGCCGAGAGGGGGTGGGGGTGGGGCC